TAGTGTGGTGGAAAAGCAGGTGTGATATGAGTAATCGAGGGTGGATGTAAGTTGGGAGGATAGGATATTGTAGTCAGAGTGGGATGTCAGGATTAATTATTTCAGAGGTGGAGCAGTTTGGGACATGGACTATGTCCAGTGTATGACCAGCTAAGTAGATGGCAGTGGAGTAGAGAAAGTCTTGGACTGAGGCATCAGGGTGAGGCAGGGGTCCTTCCTTTGAATGTTGAACATAATCGAATAGTGGAGAGGAAAGCTTTTTTTTTTTTTTTTTAAGATTTATTTATTTGAGAGAGAGAGCACGTGTGTATGAGCAGCGGTGCCGGGGGGCGGGGGGGAGAGAATCTCAAGCAGACTCCCCACTGAGGGTGGAGCCCAATGCAGAGCTCATTCTCACAACCCTGAGATCATGACCTGAGCCTAAATCAAGAGTCAGACACTTGACTGACTGAGCCCCCCAGACACTCCGGAGAGGAAAGCTTTTAAGTCAAGTGTCAAAGTCTTCAGTTTACATCCTGGATGTGAATAGAAAATGATTATCGTGTGGATGAATATAGGATGGTATACCCGATAACTTTGGGCCTTAACAGAACAGGGGTTTCTACAAAGGCACAGAGGAGGAACAGCTAAGAAATGGTAGTGGGAATCAAGAGGATACCAGGTCAACATTCTGATTCTGATTAGGTATGCGAAGACAAGCTGCTTTCCATCAGCCTCCCATTTTCTTCATATCCCATCCTATTCAGCTTAGAATCCATGGTTTCTCATTTTAATTATGGTTTCCCAATACTCTAAATTCTCTTGTCCCTTGTCTTTCTGTTGAGGGGCTGGGGTGGGGGCTGGAGTTCCAGATAGCACATTGCAAGGGCTTGGAAGGAGAATAGGAGTAGGAGTAAGCAACTGAATTACGGGGGAAAGGAAGCACTAGTTATGAGAGGGAGAATGAAGTATGGGAGGAGCTTACATCTTTGACAGTGACCGGGGAGGTAGGAATGTGAGGTGTTAATGGATGTGATTCTGGCATGGGTGAAGGGGCATCATGGCTTAGTTTAGTTTAGTCATGACTTATAGGGAGGCCAAGTGTGGTGTGTAGTCTTTAGAATGGACGGCAGCAATCATGAGGGGTAGCAACTCGGCAGCTTGGTCCAGTGTTGGGATAGGAGGTTATAGTAGAAGATGCCACATGTGGCAGGAAGGATGAATGGGGTGGCTGCTGACCTTCCATTTCTGCCTTTCTTTACTAGGAGGCTCCAGGTCTCATGGCATCCTGATTTGGCTGATACTTAGCTCTGTGGGTTTTTGTCGCTAATCTGGTACCAACTCGTATATGGACACATGCTTGTAGCTTGTTGCTTTGGTGCTTGAGTGGGTAGTGATGCTCTTGAATAAAAGAAATAGAAGGGAAGGGGCAGGCATCTGAAAACTAGATTGAGATGCTTCAAAGGAGGGGAGTGTACACAAATACAGTCTTGGGAGTCATCTGCATATAGGATTGAAGAAGCTGTAGTATATAGATTGAAGAAAGGAAAGAGCAAAAGGTTGGACTGTGGGAAGTACCCAGGAGAAAATGGGAGCAGTTAAGGTGATTACCTGACATAATGCCTGACAAAACACTTTCATGTGTGAAACATTTTGAAATGTTAATAACTTATGAAATCTTTTATTATATATATATATAATATACATAATCTATTATACCTCAAAAAATGAGTCCTAGTTTAGGGTGACCTTTTTAAGCATTAGAGCTTTTTTTTTTGATGAAAGTCTTTCTGGATTCTATTATGTGTATCCCTCTTTTCTTAAAGTATACTGAGTATAATTAACCTTGAGTTGATGATTCAGGATAGTTATTATAAATACCACTATTGAATTTTAACTCATATTTTTCAATTTCTTGAATGTAAAGAACTTGGCGACTTTACCCTGTTTGGATCCAAATTACCGCACACTTGGGATTCTTGATCTGCTTGTTATATTCTATGTTGTTCTCCCTCCATCGCTGCCATTGTCAGCTGTTACTTCTTATATCTAATATATTTGGAAACCAGATAAATGAGAATTGTATTTGAAATAAAAATGAATGGGTTTAAAGTAGGGACTAGGAGAGGTTCTCTTTGCTTTAGAAGTTTTAGTATATAGGCTTTAGGCCATTTGTTTTGCGTATTAACAGGTAACTTTGGCTTATTATTCAGTTGTTGACTGAATTCTACATGGATATCAAATAGTTGAAATGTTATACAGTATAGATTGACAAAATACACACTGAAGGACCTAGAGTAGAGGAGGCATCTGAGTGAGGTGGACTTTTTTTTTTCCCTCTCTACAGCTTTATTTATTTTTTAAAGATTTATTTATTTATTTTAGAGTGAGAGAGAGAGGGAGAGCACGAGCAGGGGGAGGGACAGAAGGAGAGGGAAAGCAGACTTCCCTCTCAGCGGGGAGCCCCACGCAGGGCTCGATCTCAAGACCCTGAGATCATGACCAGAGCTAAAACCAAGAGTCGATGCCCAACCAACTGAGCCACCCAGGTGCCCTCTCTCTAGAGCTTTAAAAGCTATTCTTTCTCTGATTCCATCCGACCTTTCTAGCCCTACTTCTACCAGTGCTGATTTGCCTCCTCCTCACTGAACCTAAATAGGCTCCCCTGGCACCTAGATTCTCTACTACAATCTGCTATTCTGTTTTCCAACCATACTCTGTACTTCCCTGCTCTCATAGTTCTCTTTTCCTCTTCTACCTGGTAAAATTCTTCTCATTGTTCAGTATATGTTTATATGGCCCCATCCTCAGGCAGATGTAATCATTACTTCCTATGTTTCCCAAAGTATTTTATGCATAACATTCTTTACACAATTTAAGAAGTTACTTTACATGTGTTCCTTATGGGTCTACCTGATAGAATTTACCAATAAGCTAAGTTTTTCCTAAATTTTAATATACATCAGAATCTCTTGGATATAAAAAAAAATTAGATGCCCCAGAAAGTTTGATTCAGTAGATTTGGGGTTGAGCCGGGAATCTGCTCCCCGCCTCCCCCAACAAGTACATTAGTTACTTCTGATAGAAGTTGTCCAAGGACCAATTAATGAATGAATTCCTTCAGGGCAAGGGCTGCAATTTACCCACTTTTGTATTTTGGGGGCCTGTCATGTAGATAGTGCTAAATAAATAAATGTTTCTAAAATGAATAGTTTAGTGGGGAAGGCCTTCTAGCATAGTGTTTTGAGTTGAGACTCAAGTTCTTGGCAGAGCTCTTAAGAGAACTTTAAAAAGTGTAGGAAATAGCATAAGACAACATATCTCAAGTTGTTTTCAGAACACTACTTTAGGACATGCCTTGTGGAAAAAGAGTTTTTGGTGGTCAGATACTTTGGGAAAATGCTGTCTATTGGATCTGCACCCTCCACCTTCTGAAGGCCCACTAGCATATTCAGGCTTCTGAGAAGTTCTGCAGCAAAGAAAACCTTTAACCCCGGATATTTAGAACTTTTTCACTAAGTGTTTCCCCCGCCCTCTTTTTTAGATAATACCTTTTCATAACCTGCAGAACTAAATGTTCTGAGGTATTCTGTTTGGGAACTGTTCACATAAGCAAACATAGAGCCAGAAGAATTGGCAGTTTATGCAGGGTGATCTATACTTGCCTAGGCTGTTCTGAAAAATAAGAGAGATAAAGGAACTGGGGAATAGTAAGGGAAAGACATTTTTTCATAGTAGACTATATTTTTATCATTTATAATTGCTCTAAGTTGTCATGTTATAAGTTTTGAAATGATTTTCAATAGAAGTAACTTAAGTGCAGTATAAATGGGTGTGAGAATGGAAGGCTTGGATTCAGATAATGACTATTGAAATGCAAAAGAAGGTAGTAAAGTACAAGACCTGGATGAAAGCTTTGTAGGATCTGGTAACTAAATCTGAAAAAGGATTTGGATATTTTAACTCAAAGTTCTAAGTGGCTTGCGTACTTTTTGGCTATATAATTAGACTACTAAAGTGAGAAAAACACATTGTATCATTGAGAGTTGAAAATAACAGTGGGGAGAATAGTTCCTGTAAGTTTTTAATATTTGATTTTGTTTAATTTATTTTGTTTGTAGTTTGTATTTCTTCTAGTAGGATAAAATTCATTGTAATATGGTTTATCTTATATATAGAAATAGAAATCATTAACTTAAATTGATATCATAGACAAAATTATGTCAAAATTTTTCCAGAAAAATTAGATTCTCTTCTTTAACGAAATGGGAAGCTGTAGGACGTGGTCAGCTCTGCATGATTCAATTTGAGAGGCTTGTTTATCAGAAACTGGTTAGTGCCGGCAAAGCTAGACACATCTTTATATTATAATGCATTTAATTTAGACTATGGGGAAATTCTTTGATACTATATATTATGAAACAGGTATCGAAGGCCTTGAGAGTCATAGAATATTTATATTTCATGTAAAATAGAAAGCCTACTTTTTTCACTCATTTATACTGGAGGGCTTAAAATAATTATTAAGGAGATGTTATTATAAGATTAACATTTTTTTTAATTTTAATTTTAACTTTTTAATTTTTTTAAAGATTATTTATTTATTTGACAGAGCGAGAGACAGCGAGAGAGGGAACACAAGCAGGGGGAGTGGGAGAGGGAGAAGCAGGCTTCCTGCTGAGCAGAGAACCTGATGCAGGGCTCGATCGCAGGACCCTAAGATCATGACCCGAGCCGAAGGCAGTCACTTAACCCACTGAGCCACCCAGGCACCCCAAGATTAACATTTTTTTTAAATAAGTGAATTCCCGTAAGACATTTTGCAGTGCTTCCTGCAATGGTAATGTTCATATCTGGTGAGCAGAGTTCGTTCGGAGAGTTAGGACTCTGCTACTGAACCTATTTCTTGAAAAATAAGGTAGTACAATTGATGACAGAAGTGAATATCAGAAAGCTAAGTAAAAGCAGAGAAATCTTTCAGATAGGGCCTTAATACTTCTTCCTTTTTATTGTCTTTTCAGACAAATGACCATGGAAACAATTGAATCTCAGCAGGATGGAAGTGTAACAGATTCTGTGGCAGAGAGCGAATCTGCTCATACGCAGACCCAGACTGGTCAAAATTCAGTCCCTACTTTAGCTCAGGTAAATTTAATGTAGGCAGTAGGCAGGCACTGATGAAAGTGAAACTATATGGAAATAAGTATGTGCAGATTCTGTTTTCTTGAAGTTGATTTTAAGTTTCCCCTGTTGCCTGGTTATCAGCCATTCTTACTGATTTGATTTCAAAGAGAAGATACGTATTTTAGTTACTTTGCCTTGTAAGGGACACTTTGCAATGTTCCCTCCACCACCACCGCTATGCAAAAGGAAAAACAAAAACCTGCCTGCAATATGTAATCCTCAAATTACTGTTTTAGAAGGTTGGTAATTCCAAGTTGGTATAGTCTTAGATTCTTAGCTGGAAATACTATAGAAATCTTACATTTGCCTAGTATACATTTGGTTTGATCTTTACTGTCTTTTTAGTTAGGTCTTTGAATTGGTTTCATATAGAGACCACCAGTATGAGTTAGTGCCTGATTTTTAGCTCCTAAAATTTATTTCTGAGATATCTATAAAAGTACGTAGTAAAAAACAAACACATTCGTTTATTTAGCTCATCACATATTTTTTGAGTACCTACTGGCTCTCGGCACTACTTAGATACATGGAGAAATGTAGTTTTGGGCCTTAAATATCTCATGGTTTAGTAGGAAGACAGGTAATTGAATGATAGCTCCAATAATATAAGAAGTGCTATAAAATGTTAGGTACAAAATGACTAAGGCTTACAGAGGAGAGAGCAGCCAGGTGACTAGGAGTACTTTATGGAGGATTTTGCTTTTGAGCTAGATATAAAGGGTGAATAGGAGTTTGCCACGTGGACAAGGATAGGGAAGCATATTCTAGGCCAGGGAAGAGTGTGTGCAGAAGCACAAAGCCAGAGTGTTGGGGAACAGTGGATAGAGGGGCTAACTGGAGCCTAGCGTCTGGGCTGGGAAGTTGAGCTGGTAAACATAAGCAGAGGTTGTATACATTTGAGAGTTTAGAGTATTCTGGATTCTAAATATTCTTGAAGCACAATGTTCCCTGTGTTTAGAACACTAATATGTGTGTGGACTGTGTGGAGGTTGGATTGGAAGTCAACCAGCCGGTAGGGGAGACACCTTTTGTGTGGAGTCATGGTAGTGTGGGATACAGTGCAGTGGTGAGATTTTCATAGTATCTTGAAGGGAGGATAGAGAGGACACCCAAGATGGCTGACTGGAGGTCCAGGGGGAATACCAGGTACTTCCTGGGTTGTCTCAGGCCAGACAGGTTCCTGTGAGGTCTCTTCTTTCCCAAGATTGGGCCCCAAGCACCCAGCCTGCTTTTCTTTCATCCTTCAAGCTCCTAACACCTACTCGCTCCCTGGGGGTTTTCTCACAAGTATTCTGTGGAGCTGCATCTCCCTGGCAACACCCTTCTTTGTTACCCTGGAATACAGGCATGCAGACCTTTTGCTATTTAAGGGGGGGGGCGGGCAGCCTTTTTCTTATTAAAAAAAATGTACGTTCATTGTAGAAAATTAACAAAATATATATTATTATAAAGAAGAAAATAAAAACTATCCATAATCTTAACATCCAGAGATTTAATCATTGTTAACATTTTGGTGTATATCTTTAACCTTAGGGTCTTTATGAAAAGAATACAATACACATACATTTTTTCATAAATTTGTGATCTTCGAGAGTTTTTATCACTATGATTCCTGATCTTTAATTCAGCCCTTCTTTTCCAAAGTGGTAGTTGAAAGCAAATCTTCCTTTTGCCTTCCCTTCCCTTCCCTTTAGGTCCCTTCTAACTGACTCCCTTCCCTTTAGGCCCTGGCTAACTGACCCTCACATAGCCTTCCCTCCCTCTTCTGGGCCTGCACAGTCAAAACAGTACATCTCCATTGTCTAAAAATGATAATTTGCAGTCCTGAGGACCTTCAGCCTGGGTGACACCCAGCTCTGTGAACATCAGTCAGAAGTTACTGAAGAGTTCAAGTAATATGAAATCTGAAAAATAACCTTGGATTTATGAGAGTTTGGAATTGAGTAGGAGTCCAGTGAATAGAAACTAGGTTTTCATAGATTAGAGAAGAAATAAGAGGGAGAGGAGTTAGAAATGGAAGTATAGATTATTCAAGAAATTTTTCTGTGAAACAATAGAGAAAGATGAGTCTGTGAGACAAAGGGGTGAGGACAGGAGTGTGGCAAAGTGGAGTGTTTTGAGGAAAATGGAAGGAGAGAGAGAGACACGAGAAAGCTGAATCAGATGTAGGAAAAAACCTGTGGTTTGTATTTATAATGCTTGCTTTAAAAATCTCAACTAATCAAATGTTGGTATTTATTAAATCTGGATAGCAAGTTCATGGACTTGCTATGGTATTTTTTTTCTACATATCTTAAAGATCTGATCAAAGAATAAACTATGGTTTTTATCTTTCACATATTAGGAATGTTGGGAGATTAAGAAGTACTCTGTGTGCTGATTCATTGATTACTTTGGTTAACTAAGAGTTATCCTCTATGCCATGCATGGATCATGATTTTTGAAGAATTAGGACAAATTCTTAGCAGTCAGAATTTTCTAAACATAATTAGATTCTAAACAATTAGGTTCTTGTGATGCTGAAGCTGTTCATTTGTGAGTATTCATTATGATGTGTTATTATATGATAGAAACATTAGGAAATCAGATTGAAATCTTTATTAAAACTATAATGTATGCTAAAAGTGACTGACTTTTCTGAATAATTCCTGAGGTCCTTGTATACTTGCCACTTGTTTCATTTTTTTCAAAGAGGACTGTTTGGTATAGGTAGGAATTTATAACACTTAATTTCCTTTTTACATGGTCAAATTATCATTAACTAGTGTGGGAACAAAGGGTGTGACCAAAAGATCCAGTCAGTTTGATCCTTTGCATCTGGTCATTTGATAGTAATAGTTTTGAGTACCGTGGCCTTTCCAAAGCTTCTGCCCATCGGGGTTACCAAAATATAATCACATTCAGGAAGATCTGACAACTCGAGCCTGCTCTTGTCCCTCAGGCCTCTGTGTGCACCAAAGGAGGCTAGAGTTTTAAGTTTCTAGTTTGCCTGTTTTACAACTTCCCAGATGTAAATGAAATCTTTCCCTTCTACCTGTAGTCAAAAGTAAATAAAGTCACAGTGGTGATAATGTCAAAGAGCTGAAAGCAGGAGTTGCCATAAACAGATTCTGGGGATGGCAAATAATTGAGGTTAAATTGTGACTTGGCTTTCTTCTTGCCTGAGATATTTTTTATGTTGATTTATTTTTAATTGAGGCTGCTTTCTTGTTTGTTAAGTGTATGTGTTGCTATGTAAGACTAGTTTCCATCCCCCTCCGCCCCTGGAAAAACTCTTGGTAATAAGTTGGAGAGTTTATTTTAAATAACCAAGCCAGGAGGAAACCCTGTCCAAAAGCCAAAATGGTGAAAAGCAAAATTACTATATATACATTACTGTATATACAAGTAGTTTTAAAATAGCCACATATCTTCTGCACTTGATCTTAGCCAAAAGGCCAAGAAGCAATAGCCACATATCTTCTGGAGATAATATCTTTAAATGGGTAATGGGAAGTTAAACTTTCTTTTAAAATGTAGGATTTTAAACATATACAAGGTAGAATAATGCTGCTATGTATATAAATTTGTATATACATAAACTTGATAATTACTAAGATTTTTGTAGCCTCATCTATCTTCTTTTTTTTTCTTTTTGTTGAAGTATTTTAAGCAGCTCTGCAGATCTCAGACATCATGTCATTTTACTCCTACTTACTTCTGGGTATGCAACTTGTAAAAGATTATGGACATTTTTTTATGTAACCAAATGTCACTGTCATACCTAATAAAATCAAGCATAATTCCTTGCAATGATACGTACTTCTTATTCACATTTCCCCATTTATCTCACAAATGTGTAATCTACTTTGAAAGCAAGAGTGAGGACACGCTGAACTTTTCTTGTTGCAAGTCTCTTGGGGATTGTTAATGTCACCATGAAGATCTGGATAGGAGAGGTAATCCACATGGAGCCACTGGAAAGGATGTGCTTTAAAATAAGCTTCCCAGAGATTCATTCCTTGTAGCTGCTGATGAAGCCTATGGGCCTGAGTTTGACACCTCAACTCTAAAAGTTAAATATCTCTTTTTTGTAAATGACCAGTTCTCTAGGTGTCAGCAAAGATGAAAGGAGCAGAATCACAGGAGTCCTAGAGCTTGAAGGAAGCTCTGGAGATCATCAGGGTCAGCACTGCCTCAAGAGAATTTGTTCTAATATAAAATTTAACCTTCCCATGGACCTGTTTATTTTTGGAAACAAAGAGACTGTAGGGAGCAGAAAAAAACCACTTGGGAATGTTGTTCAAGGATTATACTCTGCTAATCTCCTTTCTTATCCTGTCTGTTCTAAATGCAAACAATATGTAAAGGAGCACTTCAGAATAAAGCCGGCCTGGCATGCAGTGAGGGATTGAAGTAGGAATGATTTAACAAAGGATACATTTTAATATATGAGCTGTATGTATGTTTTCTGTTTCAATATGGTGGGAAATTAGAATGACATTTCTCATTGCTTTGGCTGGCTGTGCCAAAAATCCATCTTCTTGGTCCTAAGTAGGACCAGGAAGGATGTGGATGGCTATCAGAAAACAAAACAAATGAAACATTTGCTATTGATAATGTGTCAGCAACATATTTGTATATTAAAGATGGTCTGCATTGTGTTAGGTTGATTTGGTATATTTACTGTCAGCTAAGTAGATCTAATTTAAGTTTAGTGTTCAATTGAATCTTGTTTTTCAACTTCAACATACTAATTCCCTTATGTGAGTGACTCTTACTGAAGGAGAAGAATGTACCTCTTAAGATTTTGAGGTAAAAATTTTCATTTCAGTATTGACTTTCTATTGCTCCTTATTTTTATGTATTCCTTCCTCTGGCTCTTTTTCATTGCTTTAATTTAATTTTTTTATATAATGTTTTACTTCACTTAGAATTCTCTCTAAAAATGAACAAAAGTTGGAAGAAAAAGTAAAACTGAA